CAATACATGGGTTTATTTACAATGAAGGATAATCAAAGACTGAAAAGAGCAAAATTCTGTGACGATTTCAGGATATCACACAGAATTAAGGAAGAAGGAGGACAGGACAGAAGTAGAACATAAAGTTAAGATTTTAACCATTTTAGAAAGGATCAGAATACGAAGGGGAGAGTGACAGTACTGAAAAGCAGCTGTAGGTTACATTCCCAGTGAAAACACTTGTCATATAGTAAGTTTATCCAAAAAGCTTTCTCTATACTTCACCCTTGTAGTATCAGAGACGGCTGATGGAGAATGTAAATGAGTGGAACAAACCAGGTGTGGAAAAATTACTCTTAAATGCTGATAACTTTTTGAATCTGTCTGCAATTAATCAGCTTCACTGATATGTGTCTCCTGACAACTCTGAAATTTGTGGATTACGTGAAGAAATTGAAAGGCCTATAACACAAACAATTAGTATCAGCTGGGCAGCTGTTACAAAAAAACCCCTAAAAACCCCTGGAGTTCAGTTTATACCCCAGGCCATGCAGTTGGCACTCCTGATGCTCTCAAAGGAACCTCAATACAAAAATATTAGAGGGATGTCCTTCCTCACAATTATATTTCTGGTACTGGGACATATGTAGTGTTAAAATAAGATACAGTTGTCATACCAAAAAATGTTATGATTGCGTTTATTACATGCCTTTGCTGTAAAGCATATATAACAGTTAACATACCATATATTCAAGACCATAAGATCCTCCTAGAAGTGTTACTTCTGGGTTTAAATTCCTTATATAGAGATCATTAAATTGTTTTGGAATTTTTTTTTTAATGAAACACTAACGTGGAATTTTAACATGTATATCCTGATGCCTAATAGAGCTGTACTACAGAAGAATTAACATTACCAACATCGTGACAGGAAACAAAAGTGTTACCTGAATGCAATGTGAAAGTGTCAGATCTATTAAAGACACCATTTTCACTTTTATTTTGAGTTTCAGATTCTCTTATTTCTTAGTTTTTTTCCTTGGGATGATGTTTTAGCGTGTTTTGGCTGTGGGTTTTTTTGAAAAACTATTTTAAAGGCCAAAACCAGTAAGTAAAACACTTCTGGAATGCACTTACATGCCTGTCTGCAGGGCATCGATTGCAAAGGTGTCATCAGGTGACTGTGTTCATTAATGCAATGACATGATGAAATTGGAGCAATAACATATTATGTATAGTATCTTATGTATCTTAAATAAACTTTCATTCAGGTTGAAAGGATTGTTATAGCAAAGTTGTGCTTTTGTAGAAATGTGGTTGTACTAGGGAATGCAAGGGGGGATTTTCTTCCAGGTGTGGTGTGTCAAGTATTCATTTTGCTCAATTGTTTAGTGGCGTTAAGAAGAACTAATCCTGTGTTTCCTTACCTTTATTTCATCTCCTCTATGGAATTCTGTGCTCAAAGGTCTCTGAAATTTCTTACTAAAACTAGCAGGGACATATTTAATACCAGTTGTCTTCTGTGAATCAAGACCAAAAGGGTATTTCCAATCAATTGTGACTAAAATCCTAAACTTTCCTCTCATGTTCCTGAACACTGTGCCCCTCAATCCTAAATAAGGACTTGCAAATATTTTACCACATCTAAGAGAAATGAGAGGAAGACAAATGACAATTTTTTTTAAAAAGTCACAGATGTTTCAAGAACTTGAGAATGTTTATCATTAAAATATTAATCTAAATTTTGAATTCACAAAAGAGAAAGTTACTGTAAAGGAACTATTCCCACAGACTTTTTTTTGAAATACTTGCGTTTTATTTGGTATTTCATCCAAGGTCTCCAAATCAAGTACTGACCGGTACCATCTCTTCTTTGGCTCTGTGATTACACAGAGTAGAGCAACCACATTCTACAAAATCTGTGAGGTAATTTTTCAATTCTAAGGCTTTCTTAACAGAAAAGAAAAACAATGCAAGAAAATAAGTCTTAATAAAAAGAAGTTATGAAATAAAGCAGAGCAGGGAAAATATGAAGTAAAGTATGAGCAAGTAAAGCCCTGAGGCAGGCAGTGATGCCAAATATACAGTTGCATTTTCAAGACATTTTTCCTTTTTTTCCTTTTAATTACAGCCAAAACTCAATTACTTATGACCTGCAACCCATATCCATTAATATTGTGAAGCACCTGCCCGATGGATGCTAAGACACAAAATACCTTCCCGTGAGCTGCTATCCAGAATCACAGAAGTTCATACTAAGTGCCACAAAGGCTGAGATCAGTATTACACCCTGTATCTCTAAACTCTACTGTCAACTATGGCACCTTCTCTGCCCAGAATATGAAGATGTGATGAAAGCCCAGTTTATTGTTTTAACTCTTTATTATATTTTCTATTTTAAGCATGCATTCTGACTTATCATTTTCAAAATCAACTTTATAAAATTAAGCCTTTATCAAATCTAAAATGTGTAATTTCAAAAGCTATCATGACTTAAAAACTTTTCCACCCTTAACGAGTGTAGTGCTTGTGGCACTCTGCTCTACTGTGCTCTGTGGATTAAAAAACAATCACATTAAACCCCGGGGTTCAGTGTTCAGCCTGTGTTTTGTGAGTAAAATGTGCAAGAGCATGCTCTAATGGCAAGGCAAATGACAGAGCCAGAATAAGCGTTGCCCTTCTTACTGCGAGTGTATGATGCCAGACAACCACTGATCTCATACAAAGCGATTGTGTACATGAGAATATTTGTCTTCCATTCAAGTTTGAAAAGTATTTACACTTGGCATTGAGGAAAATTGCTTCTAACAACAATTGTACCGCAACTGTCTCAAGTAGTTTCATATTTTTCTAAACAGCTGAAATGTGTAATAGCAAAGAATATTTAAGTTGCCATTCGTAGTCAACACACCACTCAGTGGGACATGGCCTGTTAAGTGACACATATTTGGCATAAACCATTTATTTTACTCCTTTATGTGAGCTGTTTCCACTACGATTGAACCAGGAATAGAAAAGCTTGCTCTAGAACAAGATCCTCTAACTCAGCTGTGCTTGCCTGAGACTGTGTGAGCGGTACTAATGCCAAGAATTCCATTTATACCTTTTATGTGTCTGTAACACAGGATATTTTAAAATCTTTACACATATATATACACACATACATAGATAACGGGTATTAAATGGTAGCAGGTAATTGTGAGCACTAGTACTGAATAAAGTCAGATGACAGGAGACAGAAAATTACACATTAACTTTTTACAAGCTATATTAGAGGAAAAACCTGATTTTTGGCATCCACACAAATTCACATCCTGATATAAAGCAGTGATATGCCCCCTATTCCTGCTCTGGTGATTAGGCTACCACACAGAGTTGTGGCATCTCAACATAAGACAAACGTATTATGTAACATTCAAAGACAAAAAGTACAAGTCTTAGGTGGTAAAAGGTGAAGGTTAAAACAAACAAAAAAACAACATTCCCAATTATATTGGAAACTAGTTATTAAAAGGTTTCAACAATAGCAAGGGAACTGTTTAATATATTCAAAGAGTTATAAAGAGAAGTATTCATATGAAAATGAGTGGCAAAGAATTAAAAGATATTACCATAAGAAAATTTAACATTCAGGAAGCTGAGATTTTAGAAAAAAGTAGCCTAAACAACACACTTTTGAATACATTAATAAGTCCAATCTTGTCTAAGAACCACCTAATAAATATTACCTTCTATTTACTTATTTTTTTAGTTGAAATTCAACCTACAAGGCTTGAATTAGAAGTCAGCGGCTAGAAATAGATGCTTAAAACTTATGGTACAGTGTATGACATAATTAAAAATCAACTGAATTAAGACTTCTAAAGTCTAATTTTTTTTTACTAGCTAGCGAATAGAAATTTTTACGTGGCCAGATTGTGAAAAGGAACTGAGACTGATTTGAAGCATAGTTCCCTTTGACATAATTGAAAAGTTACTCCTACTAGAATATATTTAAGTATAATGAGATAATGATGGATACCTTACACAGCAGGTGTCTGAATGCAGAAACCAAAGAGGCCCTTTCTGCTCTCATGTAAGACACTTACAGCAATAACCGACATTGATGTTGCATTATCCTTGTTCAGTTTCAGTTCAGAGTTGTCACCTTTCATTTACAAAAATCCACATTTTTTTCTTTAAACCCTGATAATTATGAAAGGGACTGTACAGCTTGCATGATCACCACATACTCTGTATTCTTTCTGACAGAGAGCAGACTGGGACTACAGCAGACCATATTCTTACGGTTTCAACATTTCCTGCCAGTGGAAGATGGTTGGGTGGTCCCAAAATTCTGTCAAATACTGTAGTAGGTAAAATATAGACTGAGCGTATTAACATTTTGTTGCCCTGCATCTGTTCAGGGAGCAGTGGGAACATGTCATATACCCATAAAGCAAAGAACTTGCAAATACACGATGGATAAATTTAACTTTCTTTTAAGTAACAGAAAGGAATGGGAAACAAACCTCTGTAATACCCTCTGCAGTATTGCAGCTCTCCTTATCTTTTCTTAGACAACAGAAAAGAGTAGTTAAAAAGGTAACATATCATATAATGAATTCTTATCCTTAACAAACAATAGATTACTTGCACTTATGCCAAATCAGTTGAGTCAAGACTGAAATACAAAGACCGAAGTGTGACATCATCAAATTTATATTCCATAAAAAGACTGAAATGCTAAGCATTGTACCTTTGTGCAAGAAACATTTTAGATGGGGGCAGGTGGGGAGAAACACATTAAAACAGTACACAGGCTGTTACTCCATGTGTGTTTGCAGGACTATAATAAATGTTTTTAATCTATGAAACATCTGGAACTAAAAATCCAATTTGTACCTTTTTTTTTTTTTTTTTTAAGATGGAATAGTGTTAAAGTGTGTAGCTTAGCTTCTGCAATATAAATCTGCACAAAACTAACAGCACAGGTCTATCCTTTAGGCTTTTCTAGGAGTATAAAATATGCAGAATCCTACCAGGCCATATTGCCATGGGCTGTGTTGTCAAGGTGACAGAGTAGCTCCAGGGTTTGAGTGTTGCTTGATGAATCATCAGGGGATTCATGACTGCCTGATTCCAATTCCTTCGGCATCCTCCAAACAGCAGCACATGTCATGACTTTACTGTCTGAAGCTAAGCAACAGAGAATAATGTCAACAGATCATTGTATGGGAGACATATTTTGTATACAGTGCATCAACATTTACACAATTCTATAGGCAATGCACATCTGCTGTTTAAAATATTTAAAAATATTACACCAAGATGAATTGAAAGAATGCAGAACGTGGATACAGACACAGACCTCAAGTTAACAGTCAAGTTGCTGCAAAACTCATAATTAGCGCACATTTAATGTGCTTCTCCCTGTTTAAAGGCAAAATTCAGCGCTCATAAAAACATAACTCTTTGGGAGGCAAGTTTTCCAAGGTTCATTCCCCATATTGATGTTAATGAAAACAACGCACAAGTTACATTGCTCGATTCCTTAACAATAAGGATTTAGACATTGGTTTAACGTTTTCTTTTTAAGGGCTACCTTCAGTTGAACCTATAGCATTACATCATATCCTTTACTACTAGTAACTGTTCACTGCAAAATTAAGTTTTCCATTCCTCTAATTCCAGCAAGTAAAAAGAGCTTCCAAAAGACAAACTGAACTTAGACGCATATAGCAAAATATTACAGTGCATGATGAACAAGCCAACTGTAGATTAAGGCGAAAATACCATATGGTCTATGCACATATGGCATTGCTCATCACCCATACAGCGATTTGTAGCAGTGCAAAATGGGAGGAGACCAGAGCAGTATTGCATATGTTCATGTTGTTCCAGCCACTGGTC